CTGGGAATAAAGATTCACTGCATGCAGAGCATAATTATTATACATCAGGATTATGACAAGCATACAACAGTGCAAAAACAACTATTCTTTATCTATGTTAAGCATGGTTGACACTAATGGCAAGAGTGCCCTTTTGAGTTTTATCTGGACAAATGTCCTACTGCCAGATGCTCCATTCATATCGGTACACAGCACAGATATTGGTCTCTCCTCCAGCACTGACCGGAATACTTTGACTCTGTAGCATAGGTAAATTGTCTGGTTCTTTCCATGACAGTGAATTCTCAAATAGGGATAGGGAACCTTGGGTTCCCTAATGGCTGTGCCCCCACTCCTGGCCCCACATGCTTTCTTCAACCCCTGATCACTGAATAGCCTCCCAGCAGTTGTGTAAGTTCCCCCTTCAGTCTAAAAGACTGAAAGGAACAGTGATTGACAGTAAGAGCCTCAAGATCCAATGGGCTAGCACTTACTTATTTTTGGCTCTGCCACCGTTGCCTTTGGCCCTGCCCAGAACTGGAAAGGCTTCTCTGGAATTGAATTCAGCCCTCTGGGTACAAGAGCTTCTTCACCACTGTTCTAAAGTATATTGTACCATTTTGTTCATTTGGCTATTACTTTGAATGGCTACACAGAAAACCTGAAAATCACATGGCCATTATTTGTATTTGATTGTTTTAAGAGGTATAGGAGGATGTTAAAAAGTAACGTAAATGCAAATAAAATATAATTAATCAGAAATTGCAACTAACCCGGTAGCTACTATAACATTTAAAAAATATTCAATAGGAAAAGATAGGGTTTTTTAAAAATAATCTAATTGGAACATTTATACATAATGGTGGAACATGCAAAATAATCAAGCACATGATGAGGCTGCATTCTAGATCTTAATGGTAAATTTGAAATTGAGGGGTTAGTGATTTAATATTTTTTTAAAAAGGGTTTTTAAAAACTGTAGTAATCTAACAAAGTAATACTATCTACCTCTTTCTATTTCCTCCTAGCAGTTGTCCTTAAAACGAAGACAACTGAATCCAGTGGGAGGGAAAATACCGCCACACTAGCAAACACAAGAGTGGGCAGTGAGGGGGCATTGCATCGAGCAGTGCCAAGACCCTCACCCCATTTTGAAGAAGTTTCAGCAGTACCTATACTGACAGAGTTTTCCATGGGCATACCGGCAGCTTCTGTAGAATATTCTATATGGCTGGAATAGTATTTTCATCAATCACAACCTTCTTCAACCACCCTTTGGCTGAGATCAGAATTATTCTGTTATTGCAAATTTCACTTTTCTCTTCTTTGACATTCATTATTAGTGATGTTTTACATACCATTTGTTTTTTGAATAAAAATGCAAGCAGTTAAAAATAATCAAGCAAGAGATACCTTGTTTACAATGATATTTAAATATACTTTTGCTCTCAGCCTATGTTTATCAATAGGTTAAAACATGCATATATTTGATTAGTTTTAATAGTCATCATTTTGGTCCCATAGGATGAGAGATACTGGAGAGATGAAGCAGATAGCTTGTCACAACAGTTCTTCTTATATAGTTAGAAGCAACTAAAACTGAAATGTTTAAGTGTAAATTGTGGTTCCTCAATTAAGCAATTGGTCTGGGGACAAGCAAATGCTCAGGCTTATTAAAAGGGCCCATTGACATGAAATTCTAGAAATATCTTGTCTCTCTGGAGTCTGAAACACACTCATGAAAAAACAGGGTATCTAAAATTACTTCCTCTTCCAGTTTGCAACAAGAGGGACACAAATAAAAAGGAGAGAAAGAACCATCGCATTGTCTGGACAGGCCATTTTAAATGTCCCCAAGGGAAAAGCAGGTGCCCATAGAAATTAGAGTAAAAATTCAAGATGTTCATGATTACAGGAAGGAAGGGGTTATGGCTGGGAGAAACTGGCCCATGATTTGCATTCATCGATTCTGCAGTGTAGATTGTTGTTTACACCTATTGGAAGGCTATGCTGAGGAAGGGAGATTTACAACAGTTCTCCAATATAGTTCACTGTTAATGTTGCTGGTTAGGGCTAAAGATGATCTTGATGCCCAGTCAAAACTCCCCTACCCCTCCCAGGCTGGAGCACAGTTCAGTCACTTAAATCAGGCCAAATCAAGAACTCAGTTGTCTATAGGAACCTCATACAGACTGGCTGTACTTAATTTTTCAACTAAACCTCAAAAAGTGTTCATGAAATAATACCCAAGTTAGAATGGGGGCTTCTCTCTTGGACACCAGTATTTTCCATCCTCCTCAACCGCAGGCTCAGGTAACACACACCAAGAATATACTACAGCATTTCCTGGTGGGAATTCACTTGCTGCCTCTAATTCTGATTCCCAGGCTATGAATGTAGTAAAAATGCTACCCCTACACATGGGAGGGAGGCATTAGCAGGCTAAGGAAATATCACTGTTCACTGAAATACAAAAACATAGTCAGGAAAAAACTAAAGGGGGACCCCAGAAGAGCCCAAGGACATGCAAGGAAGGAGGAAGAGTATGCAAGTAATAGCTGGACTCATTATTTAACCCCTGATAGAATCAATGTACGCCATAGATTTTTTAAAAAATGCTTTATATTGATCAGTCCATGAATACTGATTTTAGTAAAGATATATTGACAAGCATATGCATTGACAAGCAAAAGACTAGTGAGGATACTTACAAATTAGCACATAGATTTATGTGCAATATCCTGTTCTGAGCATCTTAAGATCACTGTCTGAGTGCTATTACACTGTCTCGGATCAACTGTATTTAGAATATGCATTTCCTTGTACTAGGTATAAACAGTGAGGACAAATACAGAGGCAGACCTTTGTCCAGTTCCAAAAGACTCCTCTTTTTGATTGGATGCTGTTTAATTTCAGCATCTTCAGAACTGAAGACTTTCCTTTGGCAGATGCTTGATAGCTGAGAGAAGTATGGGACCATTTCATTATTAATCTTTTAAAATGTTCAAAATCATGAGTTTAAGGGATAGGATAGGCTGTACAATGTACTAAATAAAATATATGCATAAGTTCCTATACGTTAAAAGTATTACAATCACATAAGAGAAGTCCTTCTGAATCTGTTTGATAACTGCTATTTATATGACTATTCATTTGTATATACTTGATATTTGCCTTAATGCAAGCTCTTGGATTAAAATTCCCAAAACTCACCATGAAATATGCCCCCAGAGGGGCAAGGCAGCATTCCATATGAATCAGCAAGATGCCCACAAAGCATAGGGAAAGTGTACAGAAAAAATTTCTGGCTTATATTCATTTGCTTGCCTTTTTGTATCTTAACAGCACCCTCAATGAACTGCTCATGTCACTTCTGGTCATTTTCATTTGCTTGCCTTTCCACACCTTGCGCTCCATGGACACCAGTGAGCCCCTCATAGCTTCTCATTCTTATCTGCACAAGTGTGACATTTACACTTGCAATGTGCATCTGTCTGCACAGTTCCTCTGTTTTCTGGTTGTGCTTCCTTTTCACTGTCACAAGGCAAATCCTTGCCTCCTGCAGAATGGAGTTTAGGCTACGGGAGATGTAATTATCTTAACTGCCTTCATCAGTTAGATCCAGGCTCAATCTCCCTTAGCTAATGTCAGTGCTGGGCAGATCTTTGAATTCACATACATGGTATAACCAGCATTTATTTTCCAGGCATAGTCAGGGCTTCTAATCATGCAAGGAGGTTTTACAGTGCCTGGAAAGGCTCTTGTATGCAACTACATGGGAACAGGATGTTAGTCATTGTCCTCAAAGGCAAAGGGTTGCTAGTTGTTCTGCAGTCTCCCTGGATGTGGTATGCATTTATAGTACATATAGTAAGTGATGCATAGTATGTGGAGTTCACTCTAAATTACTAGCAAAGCTTTGAATGAATTCCCAGAAGGAAAAGCAAAATGCATAATGATTCATTAGAATACTGGCAATATCAGTGTAACCACATGCTGACACACTTACTGAAATCTAGGCGTACTGAAAGCAATAGACATTCTATCATTCAAGCCAGGATTTCTGGAAGGAAGAGCATGAGGCTCATGGCACATCCAATTACTATGTGAGTGTGCGTGCACGTGTGTGTGTCACTCCTAATACTTACAATGTGTGCACAGCATTTTGAAGAGCATGTTATATCTTATGATAGCGAAATAATGACATTTTGTGTGCAGGGGGGAGGTTTAAAAGGAGGATTAGAGGCAGTCAAGCAGGATATATTAAACAAATCCATGACTAACAGGGTGTAACAGCAAAGGGTCTCATTCTATTCAAGTGAACGGTTCCCTAGGGCTGGAGCTATTACTTCACTGTGCTTTTATCACTTTGGAATTTTTATGGTTATTTTTGATGAATTCACATTTTTGTTAAGATTTTTTTGACATTAAGCCAATTTTCATTTTTAATTAAACCCATAAATAACCTTAATTCTGACTTTAAAAGTTTATTGTTCCTTACATTTTTATTGTGATGGTAGGAAATATTTCAAATACCAAGGCACGAAGTGAGTTATATAAAATTCTCAAAGATCCTGTTAAGTACATTATAGCTTATAGAAGTCATATGGTACAACCTAAGAACATATTTTTAAAGTCTTTTCATCAGTACCACAAATCCTTTTGCCTGGCAAATACATTTCCAAATCTAGTTGATAAATTAAGAGGATACAAATGTAAATCTACAAGGAAGCTAAATTCTCATGTTATGCATAACTCAGAGATAAATTGATTGTTTAATTTCTTTCTCTGTTTTGGTTTAAGGTGGGAGGGGAGGCTACAGAAAAGAAAAGAATGGGCAACAGGCTATAAGAAACCCAAATTACAGAGCAGAATTACATACTCTATAAAGCAGTGATAAATGATTAGACATCATGATACGCTGTTTTCTAATAGTCTTCCTTAACTTAGTGACCTCCAGATGTGTTGGTCTACAACCTTGATCATCCCCAGCCAGCACAGCAGTGGCCTGTAAAAATTACCTTTTTCCTTGCCTGCAGATCTTTGGAGGAATGGGCTTTTACATGTTTTCTTAGAGAACTTGGATCCGTGTATCGTTTGGTGCATCCAGGAATCTGGCAAGCATATGGTTTCTACATAAACAACAAGCAAAAAGTAGCTAAGTCATAAGACTTTGTGATTTTTTTTAAAGATATTTCACTATGAATTATGAGCACATGCTAACAAATGGCAATACAATTACCATAGTGCACAATGCCACAAGCAAAACGGTCATGAAATTTATCATACAGCTAAGAGACAGAATGTAAAGCAGACTGACCAGAAAGAGAAAGTGAACAGTTTGACATCTACATGCCTATTTCCTACTGCCATATTGTTATATTGGATTCTATATCATATATAAGAATATAAAGAGATCAGCTTACTTTTAAAATGGTTGATTGCTCCTCAGCTTATCCTACCCACTGTTGCAGTGATGTCAAGGAATATTTATGAACATTTTTCTGCTATTGGGCAGTTACAATATGTTGAGAAAGAAGTCATCTTCAGAGCGTTACTCACATGTTCTCCCAGTGTGTGAACAGGGCCATGCTGAATACCTATAAATACCTGCACATGTAACTCTCAAATATATGCTCAGAGGCTTCCATCCAAGCTGGAACTTCCATCACACAAGATTCCAAATGTGATGGAAACCTTTGCATGCACAGCTGTACACAAAAAAGCTCCTTCCATGCTAACATGCATGCTGCATAATTGATCCCAGATGTGGGACTACCAGTTGGTGCACAAAATTACACATGGTGTGGAGAGAAGGGAGAGGGAGACAGTTTTCTCCCATTTCCATAAAACTAGAACCCAAGGTTGTTCCATTAAGTGGATTGTTGGGAGGTTCAAGACAGAAAAAAAGAAGCACAGCATACAGTTAAACTACAAAATTCACTTCCATGAGATATTCTGATAGGTACCAATTTTGGAAGTTTTTAAAGGATTAGAAACATTTATGGAGACATCTACTAGTCCTGATGGATATATGCTACCTCCCGTAGCAGAACCATGATGTACGCCAGCTGTGAGGCAACTTGGGCAGGAGGTGCTATTGCACCTACCTCCTGCTTGTGGGATTGTGTGGGCAGACTTTGGACCACTGTGTGAACAGAATGCCAGACTAAATGGACTTTGGTCTGATCCAACATGTCTTTTCTTATGTTCACACACCATAGTTGCAGTATGCCTACTCAGTGTGGCCCCACTAAAAGTTCCATGTCAGGAGGACAGGGTTACAGCAAAGCTTTTATGTGAGAAGCAAATGTTTCATGTGGTTAAGTGAGAGAAATCCTTTTACAGGACATGGTAGGATGGATGCCATTGGTGCAAAGAGAGGAAGCAACAGGAAGGACTCAATTTCACATATTGATCAAGTAAACTCATCTCTATTTGTACTTACAATTATATAACCCTCATAGAAACTTTTGGTATAGTCAGAAATTAATTTCTTTAGTGGGTCAGGTAAAGAAGCTGTAGTAAAGTTCCAGACATAGAGATATAGAAGAAACCTGCTTCAGAAAGAGAGAAGGAAGGGAAAATATTAAGCTGTGATATGACAGAAAAGGAATAAAGCAGAAGGCATATTCTACATGTTAAAGCTTCAAAAATATCAAAGGAATTACAGTTTTTTCAGAAATTGTTTATTTTAAAGCTTTTTGCATTCAGTATGCTAATTAGACATGCACTGTTATCAATGAATCTGCTAAAAGAATATTAGAAATGGTTTGGCAGGGAGCCTAATGTTCAGCATTGTTTTATTTCCATTACTGGTGAGAATTGTGTGCATTTTTATCATCCATCACACTTTTCTTCGAGAGAATAATTTTGGTGTAGGAAGTCATTCATATACCATAGTGTACTGTGCAGTTCATGTTTTTCCTATGGTACAGGGCCCCCCCCACTATGTACTTTTAGGCACTCAAAGCAATCATACTCATACCACATATTGTAATCTACAAAAACATGCGAATCCTGTGTAGGAAATAGTAATGAATGAAGGATCTTTGGATTTTCTGCAAGTTGTAAGGCTGATTCAAACACAAACAAACATTTCCTTCAACTACTGTCAGGTACATTCTTCTAGCTGTAATTCTCTTATTTCTTTTCATTTATTGTTCTCAGCATTAAAGACACATGGCCCTAAAACAGCTCTGTGTCCAAACTGTCTCCATCAAAGGCCAGCCAGCTCTATGCGATCCAGGGGAGAACTGCAGTGCTAAACCTGAGGGGCCTCCAGATGTGTACATGCTTAGGCACTGTGTGTGCAAGAGCAGTGGGGAGATGGCTTCTAAAATGGACCCATATGCTTTCTTGGACAATTCAAGATCTGAACTTATCACAATTCCATATCATGTTTTGCCCACTGAATTGGCATTATGAACATCCTAATCCTTGTGATGGGAATATATTGTGCATATATGCATCTTCAGGTGGATCTGCCCATTTACCCCTGTGAGTGGCATTCTATTGCCTTCTGAGGCATGGCCGGTAACAAAGCATGAGATGATTTGTGTGTGTGGCAACACCCATACAAGAAACTCCCTGCTCTAAAGGCTAGATCATCTTCCTCTTTATTGTATCCTGCCAGCATTTGGAGACTTTTAAAGCAAGCTTTTGATTCAGACATTGCTTTATCAATGTATTGTCATTTCTTTTTTAGAGGAGGAGCTGTTGCATGCATCTGTATTTGTTATTAGCTGTTTTAGTAATGGATAGCATGTTTATTATGCTATTATGTTCACTATTTTGGACATTTCCTTCTTGGAGGAGAAAGCAGGATACAATATTTTGTATAAATAAAAATAAATATTAAGGATATATTTACTTTAGCTGCATGCTTACACACTTTTGCAGACTGCATAGGCAGAAGTGAAAGGGCTGATATATGCATTATGGTGTAGACAGCTGATACATGAATGAAAAGGGCATGTTTTCTGCTGAAAGCCTCAACCAGTCTCCTGCACATTGCCACAATCTTTAGCAAAAGCTATCTACACGGACTTAATGTCCCTCACAAGAGCCACAGAACTATTCTGTTCCTCTTCCTGCATCAGAAACTGCATGCTTCCATCTGTAGTGCAGTTGCACCCATCTTATGGTGGCAGTTCTGTTCTCTGCATGACCACAATACGGTGTAAATCAGCATCTCCTATGCAGTCAGTGCAATCAACACTTGAGTACCCTGTGCTGAGTGTATCGTGCTTCAACAGGCTCAGTTCCCCTAAAATGAAAGCCTTCTTTACCTCATCTGAGAGGATCCAACATCTCTCTTTACCCCTGGCTCTGCTCCTGCTAGAGGCTGCTGTCAGCCTGGAGCAGGTATCGTCTGTGAGGTACCCCGTCATGTCCCTTAAGTGGGGCAGCATGGCTGGGCTTGACAGCAGTGCAGCAAGATTGGAGGGCTGAAGGACAGGAGGTTCGCAGGTTCTTGAGAGGCTGCTCTGCATCCAAATGCGCTCCCCTGGACCTAGAGTTGCAAGCTGGACATGTAATAGGCAGCCTACACTGCTTTGAAACAATCATAGAAGAAGTGTGAAAGTCCTCTGATCTGTCACAGAGATCTCCTTTGCTGTAATGTGAACTACATTTTGAAACAAACTGAGTAAATTTGATAACTGTCTTGCAGGAATCCCACTATCTCTACCCAAACTGCTGTTTTTCCCTTTAAAGCTGTCTTTTGAAGCCAGGTTGCATAGTATGCAGCAAAGTCAAAGCAGAATAGCAAAATAAATCTGAAGTCATATTCTTCCCTTACAGTGTCCAGGTGTGTCCTCTGGTGCTTGGCTCGGTCGCTGGAATTACTGAATGCTTTTTGACAGCCTGGATGCTGGCAAAGGTAAGGCTTTTCTCCAGTGTGGCTCCTTAAGTGAATCTTGAGATTTTCTAGTCTAGAAAAGGCCTTCTTGCAGCCTTCAAACTGTGAAACAAAACAACATGTCTAAGACTGAAGGAAACATTCCTCTCTTTTTTGCACAAATGTTGCTTGTGCTCATATTAACCAGCCAGTTTTCAGGTAAGCCTGTAAATGCTTAAGAAATTGCTGTTCAATTAGTTTTAGAGTATCTAAAAGCATAGAAAGCATTTAATCATGAAGTCCACAATGCTTAAATATTGTTTCTTAACATTATGCCTTTTTGAACTGTACATAGCATCCATGGCTAATAGGATTTCAGGCTTAGTTAGCTATTCCCACATGAACTATAATTATGTGAAGAAACAAGAAACCAAGTTGATTTCAGTCAAATTTTCAAATGTAAATGTTCATAACTTCTGAGTTAGTAAGCATGGGTTTGTGGGACGATGTAACACCTTTACCACAATTAGTCATGTTAATGCATGCCAAAATTTTGCCATTTTAATACCTTAAAAGACTCATAGAAGGAAGCCTGAATCATCCAGACTTTCTGGAAGTGTTAAAATTTTGTGGAATTAATAGAAGAGAACTCTGTAATGTTTACTCATTTGTACTGTATAGTACTCTTTGTACTGTAACACTGCAAAATTGAAACTATCAATGAACACACAAACATAATTTTCTGGACCATTTAAAAATTACCTATGTTCTTGTTAATAAAATTGTGAATGTATTTACAGATAGAACTATTTTTCTTTATAAAAGATAAACAGCAGTAACTGAAATTATGGATTCAGAAATATAAAGGCTTACATTGCAACTTATAAACAAGGACAACATGAATCATTTTATATCAAAATAAATTTGTTGGTCTTTAAGGTGTTACATGGCTCTTGTTTATGCTGTAGAAGACTACACAGTCACCTTCTGGAAAGTGAATTGTTGCCTTTTTTCATGTGGTATGAGGGTATGTACAGAATCTGGATAAACATATATGCATTCATAATGACGTTAACTTCATAAAAACCACTCACAGTCTTTGTATTTCTAAACCTCTAATTTCAAGCAACACTATATATATCCCTATAAAGAGTATCTGTGCCTAGGCAACCTAGGGCCCCAAAGATATTTGACCTACAACTCCTCCATCATTTCTGTGCTGACTAGGCCTGATGGAAGTTGTAGGCCAAAACATCCTAAGGGCCTACTCCTGCTTGGCTCTCACAGGGAGGCAAGCTACATATGATGCTTAGTTGTACACTAAAAATAAAATCCAGACTTTTTTCTGTTGACAAAATGCAGCTGCAGAGGCTCAGAATATTCCCTTTGAGGAAGGGCTTCTTAACCCTTTCTCCTCCAGCTATTTTTGTGTTTAAAAAAAATCCACAGAAGGGAAGCATACAGCTACCCACACCTTTTGCCTTGCATCCCAAGAGAGATGTAGATGCAGCGGGGGGGGGGGGGGCAGCGTGGGCAGTATTTTTAGCAAAGAAACTGACAGAGGAGAAAGAGTTAAGCCCCATTCCCATTGGGTAGAAGGGGTGGGGGTGAGAAAGGAGTTGAGCATTCTGGGATTGTCCTTGATTGAGTTGTACATGACTGAGCATGGCATGTCACTTGCCCTCCTGAAGTGCTTCTGCATGTTAGAAACACACAGCAACATTCTCAGCATTTGTGCAAGCAATGCTAGTTTAGATTGTCCAAAAGAATAACACGTTGGAAAGTTGTGCAGGAAGTAGTTGTGAATACAACTCATGGCAGAAGAAGCCATGGAGGCAATTTCTGATACAGTGGTCCCCCGAAATTCATGGGGGTTGCGTTCCTAGAGCACCCGCAAATTGTGAAAAACCGCGAATTTGGTGCCGGCGATGGGTGCCGGCCGCCAAGGCAGTGCGGGAGGGGAGCATGGGCCGGGAGGGGGGCAGGCGCACGCACGCATGTGGCGGGGCGGGCATGCACAGAGATAATTTTCTCTGAGCTCAGAGAAATGATCTTGTAAGCAAGCAACCACACGGTGAGGCACTGGCTTACTCGCAAGGAGACCAGTTTGGACTCACTCAGAGAAAACGATCTCCTTGCGAGCAAGCCACCGCATGGAAAATTCCATGAAAGACTGAGGCCGCGAACGCTGAACCGCGACTTCACGGGTGTATACTGTACTCTGTAATTCCATCGGTGATAGCCTGAATGTCCCATTCCCTTCGAAAGCAACATTTGGGAAAACTACTATAAAACTGATACACATAGCCCAAGTCACCCACCTCCAGGAGAAATAAGAAAATCAGACATTGTCAATCATACAGACAAACGCAATGCAAAACATGAAGTAAACCAGATCAATAACTGGGACCAGTTCATCAGACTTTGGACCAAAGATAAGCATGCAATGGAATACAAGGATGAGGAAGTTGCCCTTTCACATTCTTGAATAGCCTCCAGTGGGAGGGTGGAGGGTTTACAGTGGCAGTCAGGAAAAAAATCTGAACATGTTGATAGAATATGTATTCTGTAAGGATGGTATTCTCAAAAAAGGGACTTAGAAGAAAACCTCATATGAAAAGCTTGTTATTCCCTAGGCCAAAGGGAAAAAATATTAGTAATTGCTTCTGATCAGACAAAAAACCATTAGTTGATTTTAGAGACTGTGAACAAAGCCACTGGACTTGGTTCTCTGCTCAGACTTTGTTAAATAGTGCCTGAGTTTTGCTCCTTTCCCTGCTTTTCCCTCCCAATTCCTTTTCCTTTTGTGTTGTGTTGTGTTGTGCCTGAGAGCAAGAACTGTCTTACTTTCATCTTTGTAAGCCACTCTGGAAGCCTTTTTTAGCTGAAGTGCAGGGGAAAATGTGGCAAATAAATAGATGGGTAAGACTCAGCTTCTGTGTCAGCCTCTAGTTTCACTGCCTATAAAATATTAATCATTTACTTTTCTGGATCATTGTGAGGCTGAATTTAAAAATCTGTCAAAAAGCCTGTATATAAAAAGGGCTATTCAATGGGTTTTTCAAAAAAAGCATTCATAATTCAAATTAATATTGTATTGCATTTGGTAAAGTTGTAATGGGGCCACTCCATCTCTGCCAGTTCCACCACACTCATGTGGGTCACTTCTTGAAGTAAGCCCCCAAACAATCATTTCTGCTTATTTCCAGAAATGGGCATTCAGTGGAGCTCTATTCTGTAAGCGTCACTGATTTGTACCTTATCAGAAATGAGGCTCTGGAACTGCCAGGCTCCCCTTGCACTAGTGGAAAGGCCTGGTAGTAGGAGAACAGTATTGGATACAGTCAGTAATAGTCTTATTTCATTTTCCATCAAAAGTCAAATTGTTTACATTTATCAGGATTACAAGCCACATTTTTAACAAATATGTTGTGGTCCTATAGAATGGGCCCATACAAACTCAGTAGAACTTATTACTGTATACATGTGTTCTGGATTAGAGGATTAGCCAAAAAAAAAAATTATTCTCTCCTATATCTGTCCAGCTGTAAATTAATTGTGATATAATAAAATACAATTTACTAAAATAGGATGTGTGGGTATGGGTGTATCTGTCTGTCTGTCTGCACTATGCCTGTGAAACCTAGATACATGAAACTTAATAGGCATACTAAGAAGGCTTTAGCGGGACCATCAAGTTATTTTATTTTTAAAACAGATTAATAATTACATTTAATTAAAATATGCCTGTGCATTTGAAGCCTACAGTACCATTAGCAATCATTGGGTAGGCTTCCTTAATCATCATATAACTTTGGAGCCAATAGTCTGAAGCAAGAAGAGAATAGGGAAATAGAGAGGATGAACCCCTTCCCCAGGAGACTGTGCCATGCACCATGGAAAAAGCCATGCTCTTGTCCTTCAGCTCAGGCAGCAAAGTCTCAGGCCAGCCCTGGATGAATATTTAAAACGGTGATTAACGGCAGCCTATCACATTCAAATTAAAATTCTTTAAGTACCCAAGGACTGTACTTGTCAGTTTTAAAGGTTACATATTTGTAAGTTAGCCCTGACACCTTGGGCTTGTTTTGTATTTGTTAGGATTGCAATCCTAAACATATTACCATCAATTACAGCCCATTCAACTTTAACATGTACACTCCCTTGAGCAGGGACTGTCACTTAGTCTATGGTCATGCATAGTATTATCTGGGAATAAGTTCATGAGAGCGACTTTTAAGTAAACATGGATCAGGCTGCACTGCTCAAGGACCATTTATGCTTTTGGGGTTGCGTGTACCTACGTATGCATGTGCAACTTATATACATGCAGACTTCATGGGAAATATTTCTAAGTAAACATTGTTAGGATTGGGCTGCAAGTTTAGTAAGCTTCCCTATTTCAGCCCTGGATGATTTTGCTGTTGTTATTGTGAAGAAAGTAAATATTATGACAAGCTTCTTGGAAGAAAAATTACTTCTGAATGCATCAGCTGGTAATAATTTTAAACCCATTTGGAATGAAAGCCATTAGAAGAAAAAACAAACAACTTGGGAATTTGTTTTGTAGTGCATCTCTTTGTCAGAAAGCTGGTTGCAACTTTTCCACTTTTCCCTGTCCTCCCTTTTTACTTTTTCCTTCCCCCAGTATGTTTCAAAATTTGTATGGCTTAGCTTTAACTACTGCAAACTTTGTTGTAACTACCTTGATTATGAATCTTCTAGTTTAAACTTTCAACCCATTTCATATTATCAGCCCCAATGATATCCAGCTGTGTGTGTGTGTTTGTTTAAACACCTGGCAGCACAATCCTATGCATGCATATCTACCCTCTGAGTTCATCACAGTTTACTTCCAGGAAAGTGGGTACATACTTGCCTTGGCAAATATGCTGCTCTTAATAGGGCTTATTTCACGGGGAGCACGTACAGCATTGTGCTATAACATAGTTTTCTATAAAATGTACTCAAAGTAATATACAACAACAACAAATCCCATAAAGTAATTTTAAAACAATTGAAGAATAATATTATCTGAAAGAATCTGAGTCAAGAAACTGTAGAACCCCAGCAGGAGATACTTAGGGTATATTTATTTATTTATTTGCATATTGCTCCATACC